CTCTGTTGGCTTCTTTTCTCATTCCTAACTACCTTTGACTTCTCTCTGATTTCTCTACATCTCTGATAATCTCTTAGATTTCTTACTTCAAATTTTCCTCGTCTAATTTTTTTTTTTTTAGAATGAACATTTTCCTCATTTCTTAAAGTATTCCTCAGAAACCATCCCGTTTTATTCCTTAGTCTTAGGAGCTTCTACGGGGTCTCCTTGTCTGATTATAAAGGTCTCTTTCCTGAAAACACAGAACAACTGTAGCAGCCACTGACGCTCTTATTAATCAGATTTTCTTTTGCTTCCTTGCTTGCTGACATAAACTAGAATTATTTTCAATGATCTTTTCCTCCTTATTTTGCAAAATAAAAATTACTTTTTCTAAGGATGATAATGAGAATTTGAGCACAAGGAATTTGTGCCTGTGAGTTAAGTACAAACAGATCAGACTTTGCATAACTATCTTTCAGAGTTTGTCTATGGATTGGTGGCTATGTTTATGAGTGCTATGTAAAACACAGGAAGTACATTCAAGAAGAGTCTAAGAGTGTCTGTGGCCATTACTCCCTTCAGGGATTAGGCTAATGTTTTCTGTCTTGAGAGGAGTCTTCTGGGGATGGCTGTTTCATAGACTCAGCCTGTACTGGCCAATGAGACTTAGGCTTTTCTATCAGGGATCTTAGCATCTTTTTCTGCTTCACTTCTTCCAACTTCATCACTAGTTTGTACTTTAAAGCTTATGACCCAAGTTTAACCCCAGTTTCTAGTGTTGGACAGTGGGTGAATTCTCTAACATTTTTCTGTTCAGATCATTTTTTTACTTGTATTACTTTATAACTGTAACATTGTTGCCACTTGTAGCAATAGGGTATTGTCTAAGGTAGAAAAACAGAAAATGCATTTTACATTTTTGTTTTTAATTTTTCTACTTTAAAATTATTTTATTAATGTATATATATGGATTTTTGAACTACATGTGTATCTGTAAATCATGTGTGTTTGGTACCCATGGAAGTCAGAATAATGGTTTCACTCTCCTAGAACTGGGGTTAGAGATAGCTGTGAGTCATCATATAAGTGCTGGATAATGATCCCAGTTCCTCTGGAACAGCCAGTGTTCTGTTCCTTCTGACATTATCTAAACCTGTCCCCTGCCTCATTGTTCAGCTATATACAGTAATCCTGCTTCTCTTCTTCAATGATATGCTTCTGGGGTTCTACCGAGACCACCTGATCCCAGGTACTCTCTGTGTGACTGTGTATGTGTCTTGTCATGTCTTCATTCCCTTGTCATTCCAAGTCAGGGTTCTGGAAGCCATGCATAAGCCTTTTGTTGCTATGTTACATGGTATTGTGATAAGTTTTGTATGTTCCTAGCACTTCTTTCAACTAAATGTATATCTCTTACAAGTCACTGTAAGGATGGAATGATACGACTACCCACCTCAAAGGTAGTGGTGAACATACTTATGACATATAACAGGTTAATCAGAGGAAAATGCCAATTTTCTGTAACCAAAGTTTATGTGGCAGGGGAACTTGAAAGAATGAAGGCACAAAGCCACCAGGAAAGCTGTCTGGTTTTACTCTTAGGTTTGATAAAAATGCCAACAAATAGAAGAGGAAGTCTTCTAGCCCTATCTGCTTAGGTTCTTCTTGGTATTTTTGGGTATTATTTCTTCCTTTAAGGCAGGGTCAGTAACTAGTTTAGGTCTCATGGTTGACCAAGGGGCAAAGAACTCTGAGCAAAAGACATTCTACCTTTTGTATCTCACTGCAAGAGACAAAGTGGAGACTACAGACAAGAGAGGAGGAGGCTCAGAGACAACTGGCCTCTGAGCCTCCTCCCCCCAGTCTCTAGTTCAGACTACTAGGCATTAAGAACCTGAGACCCAACACACTGTAATTCAAATTCAATACCAATTAGTATCCAAGTAATTGCAGCACATTTTGAAAGCATTATGGGGCTCTAACATGAATATGGAGATAGTCTGTCTTGAGTGATTTTAAAGTTTTTCCTTCATTGAATTTAGCTCAATATTTTACTAATGGAAAGTTACTAACAAATGATTGAATCTTATTCATATAATGTACATCTTTATTTTAAATATGACTTAAGTATAGAATGAATACATAGTTACATATGATAAAAGTCATGTTTACTATAATCACTCTTTTTAAAATCCAAATTTAAAATGTGTATGATACAGTCCGGTTAAGTATATTAATTCCCCAAATTTCTAGTAGGTTTTCTCAAAGTACTTAGTATTTAGACCAAAGGTAGATTTCAAAACACTCATATGATGAGCTAATGAGTTTGCTACAGACTTCTGAGGGAGGTTGTATATTGTTTAGATTGCATGAAATGAAAAATGCAAAGGAGTGAGTAGTCAAGACCTCCTGAATACCCTTGAAATGCTTAGCAGTTTTCCTAGTTTCCTTTTCCTTCATAGTACACCATGCAGCCCAGTTAGTAACCTGTCAATCAAGCAATAGAAGAATTCCATTAAGGTTAGAATTATGGAATCATCAGATATGAGGACTGGAATGTAACAGAAAGGTAACAGAGCTGCTTTGTAACTGCAGCACCTTTGCACTTGGGCTTGGTCTAGTTTATCATCAGTGTGCTCAACTCATAGCACCAGTGTGCTCACTGTCTCTGGAGTTAGGGCTTTCTGTTCCCTGTAAGGATCTGCTGCATGGCATGGAGTAATTTCCTTCCCAGTGTCTGAGGAAGGAGCTCATGATCTTCCTCTAAGGGTTTTCTTTCCTTTGTTTGTTTTTCCTGTACATTTAGTCTCTCTGTGTGTCTCTGCCTCTGTGTCAATATCTATCTCTGTTCTCTCTCTCTCTCTCTCTCTCTCTCTCTCTCTCTCTCTCTCTGTGTGTGTGTGTGTGTGTGTACATGCACATATGCTCATGTGCCACAGTCCACATGCCACAACATGGGTGCACAGGTAACAGGAAAGTGGGAATCCGTTCTTCCTTTGACCATGTGAGTTAGGGGATCAAACTCAGGTCCTCAGGCTTAGTGGTAAGTGCCTAATGCCTGTAGCAGCTGAACCAGCTCCCTAACTCCTTGAGTGTTTTTAAGGGAACAAAGTCATTTAATATATGAGACTAAAAAGAAATGGTTATTGTATATAGTTGAAGACATTTTATTCTTGTGCCCTTCTTTTCTACAAGAAAATATATTTGTTAATATGGCACATAAAATAATTAATCAGAAAATTGTCAAGAAGTGCTTGGTTCCAGTCTTCAGGTAGGAAACAATCTGTTTAGTTTACAATTAAATATAAACATATTTTTGAACTATATTGCCCACATATTTATATATTTGGAGCCCTAGACTAAGATTTACAACAAATAAGCTAATTACATTGGTCTCTGTCCATATTTTAAATGTATCTACTAGAGAAGCATGTGTCTAGGCATTTGAAGAAATAAGATTCGTAATAAAGCCAAATTGTAAATTATGACTCAACAAATGAACCCTCTTTCTTTATAAAGCTGTGTTTAATATTCAGCTTGGTTTTGAATCACGTTTGCTGTAGCCTTTAATATTTAAATATATGTAAATGGTAACTGAAGGTTTGAGGGTGCTTGTTCTTTCCAGCAAGTGTTAGCAGTCAAGTTGTACTGATGATATGTGTTACATTAACTAAGTAGTTAGACCAGGCTCTTATGTACATTCTCACAATAATGTTACCAGTGATTCTGGTGTATTAGCATTTTTTTCTAAGTAGTCCAAAAAATAGTATCTAGACTAATAACAAAGCAAACAACAATGAAAACAAACAGACACGAAGGGCAGAAAGCGACTTGCCCATGCCGCTTACCACCCTCACTCATTCAGAGCTGGCACCCTCTGGGATCAGCAGGTTCCTACACGCGCTGAGCAAAAGCAAAGCGCTGTGCAGGGCCAGGGCGTGCCCACCTGCAAACCGCTGGTTGTCTGGAGCCTGCAAACACCTTGCGAGTTCCGGGGAGGCTCTTGGAGATGTCTGTCTCAGACTGTTCAGCTCAATAGCTGCCAGCGTCCAGAAGCTTTTCAATGTGTCAGCAACTTCACTTTATAGAGCTCTAGCCGGTGGAGGACCTAGGAAACCCCTCCAGCCATAAGCTGGCCAGAAGCTACTGCTGCCCTAGAGCACCTTTTGTTCTGACCACTGATTCGAGTGGTGGCGGCCGTGCCAGGCGTGCAGGGGCACCGCGATCCCTGCTTCCAGAGGCCACCTCCCGCCCTGGGCGCCCAGCCCTGAGCCGGCTGCCCCAAGCTTGCACGGCGGAGACACGCCCCTCGCCTCCCCACGGTGCAGGGACTCGCCCGGGCTGCCAGGCTCCGCCCACCCCGTTGGGAGCCTAGCTCTCTCTCCTGCCCCCTGCACTCGAGACCCAGCGAAGCTCCGAGAAGAGCTGCAGGCTTCATGGACTGGGAGCGGGGTGCAGGGTAGCACGCCAGGGTCTGCGACCACGCGCTCTCCAAAAGACTGCCCTGCTGAGCGCGGGCTGGGAATGCGGCCGGAAGAAGAGTCCCACCGTCCCTGGACAAGGTCTGGGGCTGCAAGGTAGGGAGTAGGCAGATGGCCAGGCAAAGTTGATCGGAGCGAGGAGGTGGTTGGCCTGTGCCCTCCGGCCGCTGGGAACCGCCGAGTTACTTGGACTTGACCCCGCCGCGCCCCAGGCGCTCTGAGCAGCCCCCTATCTGCTGCCCTGCGCGGGAGCGCACTTGCAAACTTGGTGGAGGTGTCCTGCGCGTCCTGTTGTGTAACCTCCGCGCCGCCAGCTGGACCGGGAAGTTACCCGCACGCCCTTCAGCTCGGATCGGTCGCAGCCCCGGGCAAATTTCATGGCCCGCGACAAACGCGCGGCCAGAGCCGGCGTGGGCGAACTCCCGCGCGCTCCAACCCGTGGGGAACTCCCGCGCGCGGTCCCTGCCCCTGGCCCGAGACTCAGATGCGCGCTGAGCTGCTCGCTGCTGCTGCCGGCTCGCCGCGGTCTGCCCTTCCTAGTAGCTGCCTGAGTTGGAAAGAAGAGGATGACCGAGGTGCCTTGGTCGGCTGTCCCCAACGGGACAGATGCTGCCTTTCTGGCTGGCCTAGGCTCGCTTTGGGGAAACAGTACAGTCGCCTCAACTGCTGCAGTTACCTCTTCATTCCGATGTGCTCTGACCAAGACCGGCTTCCAGTTTTACTACCTGCCGGCTGTCTACATCTTAGTGTTCATCATAGGCTTCCTTGGCAACAGTGTGGCTATCTGGATGTTCGTTTTCCACATGAAGCCTTGGAGTGGCATCTCCGTGTACATGTTCAATTTGGCTCTGGCTGACTTTTTGTACGTGCTCACCCTACCAGCCCTCATCTTCTACTACTTCAACAAGACTGACTGGATCTTCGGAGATGCTATGTGCAAGCTGCAGAGATTCATCTTCCACGTAAACCTCTATGGTAGCATCTTGTTCCTCACCTGCATCAGCGCGCACAGGTACAGTGGCGTGGTGTACCCTCTCAAGTCTCTGGGCAGGCTCAAGAAGAAGAATGCTATTTATGTCAGCGTGTTGGTGTGGTTCATTGTGGTGGTGGCCATCTCCCCCATTCTCTTCTACTCTGGCACTGGGATTCGGAAAAACAAAACTGTCACCTGCTACGACACCACGTCTGATGATTACCTGCGAAGTTATTTCATCTACAGTATGTGCACGACTGTGGCCATGTTCTGTATCCCCTTGGTGCTGATCTTAGGCTGTTATGGATTAATTGTTAGAGCATTGATTTACAAAGACCTGGACAACTCTCCTCTCCGGAGGAAATCCATTTACCTGGTGATAATTGTCCTGACGGTGTTTGCTGTGTCTTACATCCCTTTCCACGTGATGAAAACGATGAATTTGCGGGCACGACTGGATTTCCAGACCCCAGAAATGTGTGATTTCAACGACAGGGTTTATGCTACTTACCAGGTAACAAGAGGTCTAGCGAGTCTCAACAGCTGTGTGGATCCCATTCTTTATTTCTTGGCTGGAGATACATTCAGAAGGAGACTGTCCCGAGCCACCAGGAAAGCTTCCAGGAGGAGTGAGGCCAATTTACAATCTAAAAGTGAAGAAATGACTCTCAATATTTTATCTGAGTTCAAGCAGAATGGAGACACAAGTTTGTGAAGGCACGAGATCCAAATTCCTCAGTTCTGTAACATGGTAGGATGATCATAGAACCAAATGCTTTTCTTCCTAAATCCCTAGTAATGTTAGAGAATATTCCAAACAAGGAAGTCGTGAGTCTAAAAAAAAACCCATCAATTCGATGCACATGTCCACATTTATCTTTCTTTCCTGTAAGCTCCTTTCTTACTGACTAGAAGTATGTGTAATAAAACAGTAATACTAGATAAACATTTCCCCTTCCTCCTTTTCAATTCACAGGCATTTTGTTTGTTTAAAGTGTGTGTGTGTGCATGTGTAGCAGAGCAATTTTGATATTAAAAATGTCTCCAAGAAAACTGGCCACCTGGAACTTGAATCTGTGATTTGTTTAGCCTGTGTTGCTGTGAATAACTCTTGGCATAAACAAACTAAAATCTATACTTTGAAAAACAGTTTGGCATAGTATAATGAGATACTGGTCAGTCCATTGAGTAATGAGCAGATGCCTGAGGTACATGTCTTTCAGTTCCTCAGAAGCATGCACAGTGGCTGATATCCTTGGGGAATTGAATAGAAAAATAAAATCAATGGACTTTTATGGGAGGAAAAGGAACATTTCCAGTTATTTCTGGAAAACTGATTAGTAAACATCACTTCTTAAATGTTTGGTGGTGGGAGGCTACGGATATTATATTATTGGCAAGATCCACTCAAAATAATTGAAGTGCATGTGTTTTTCTTATAAATACTGCGGACCGTTAGGCTTCCTGGGAGAAAAAGTTCTCACTTGCACCTCTGCTGTGCAGTGCCTTAGGACTTTGTGTTCCAAGACAAGTGCTCACTCACATCTGTGAAAACAATTTTGATAGATCCCAGTTAAATTTCAGACTAAAGGGTGAAGGCAGCAGTGGAAGCCTTAGCAGATTGTGGGGTAGTGGGTGGGACTGTCAATGTTTCATAGGGCCATGGGTGACAGCTGCTCTCTGCAGCTGGAGATGTGGAGATGAGTTTTAAAAAGAAGGATGTAAAACTACAAGAATAATGAGAAGGTTATGTCTGTTTGGAGTTCTTGAAAGGGGATGCAAAGAAATCACTTAGGTGTGCCAAGATGGTGGAAAACTGTCATCTGATAACAAGTTGTAACCTTTTGATGACTTTTTAAATGAAAATCATTTGCAAGGAGAAAATAAAGGAAATTAAAATTTAAGTGCTTGAGGCATAATAAATCTGGAGAGAAGTCCATTACAAGAGTTGTTCATCAGGCCATTCATAGTAAAGAGACAGCAGTGTTTTCTACTCTAGACAGTAATGAAATATTTATAAAGTTTATTGAAATTTAAAAACAATTTCCAATGAATAATGATTGCTACATTTATAGCCCTTGAAATGTTCAAATTTAATTTAATTTAATTAAAATAATGAGAAATTAAATAGTCCAAATAAACAAATTTGATGTCCAAGGAATTTTAGCTGTTAAAGTTAGTTTTCACACAGCCCCCTCCTTAGTATGTAAGTGATGGTAGACACTGCTTTGAAAGTATTCTCTGAGAAAACAATCTTTGTGCCCAGTAGGATAAATAACATAAGATTCAGGATTTAATGTCATTTCTTAAACACTCAAGTGACTGGGGATCTGGGATATCTTTGGAGTGCTTCCATTTGCCCAATGTCTTATTACTCAGGTCCATCCATGAGGAAAAACTGCATTTAGCATTCCTATGTAGTGGTTCTTCTACACATTCAGTTGTAACATACAGAGATTAAGAAGCCAACTTAAAAAACATTTACTGTGTCTCCAACTTTGGAGGTTTTCAGAGTTCTCAAGTGGCAAGAAAATCAACATTTTCTGTTTCAGAATCCTACAGACAAACTCTAAAATACATCATTATTGTTGACACTTCAAATATGTTCAGTGGCTCAAAAGTAATTTTGTTAAACTGACCTAAATGGAAATTTCAGAAACCCACAGCTCAGCGCTCCATATGTCTGTATCATTTCCTCATTATTTAATACAGTTTTCTGAGTTTGAGGCTTAGGATATCAGCCTGATTTTGGATATGTGGTAAATGCACTGTTTTGACTTCCAGCAAATGTTCTTTGGGTTTGTATTTGGTTAGAGGACCAAAGTATCCTTCTGTTCCTTGTCATGTTCCTCATTCTGGGGATTGGCCACCAGGGCCTTGTGGATACTAGGCAAGAGTTCAACCACTGAGCTATTGCTGCAGCCCCTAAAGTGTTCTTCCTTAGCTACATCATTAGATAAACAATGATATGTCAACATAGTAACAAGACTGACTGTGCCAACTTCTTCCAGGTCAGAAGATATCCCTGAAATGACCTATGCATACACAGGGTCAAGAAAAAGCAACATTCTATTGGCCAAAACACCAGTTTGTGCCACCTGAGTAGGTGTGTTCATATAAAGACAGTTATGCTGACATTTTGTTGAAAGACACCTAAAATTGTAAGATTTAGCAAATGACTAAACTTCACACTACAGAGATGTCTTCATTCCAAGCTCAAGAGTTGGTTTTTCTTGTTGCTCTGTTTGACTCTTTGAAGGTTGCTTTGAACCTGTATTGAACTAAAATGATAAATTAAGAAGAAACTTAGGGCACAGGACAGAATTCAAAATTAAGACACTGGGAAGACACTTGGAAACCTATTCTTCATGACCAGGAAAGGTGGCAGGACACCATTTGTTGATGCCCTAGGTGCTGTGGTAAATCTTGAAAAGCAGTGAGAACTGTTCAGAATCTGTTCCATCCTTCCTAGGCAGTCTAGTCCTTGGATAAAGTTCTCATTTTCCACCAACTGTGGTATGGACAGGTTGAAACCTGTAAATCTCTGCTCACACAGCCAGGACACTAACCCATCTTGATAGGACATATATCAGTAATTAGTAGCAGCTAGAATTCAACTATTGACAGGACTTAGAAGGTGTGATACTGGTGAATATGTATTGAGGCTTTTCTTCTATTGGCCAAATGTAATTATTGTAATAGTATTTATTGAAGAGGTTTATGGGCCTTCAGTTGTACAGATTGTTAAACTTCCTTGAAGATGCAACATACTGGTGTAAATTGTATTTATTGCAGTGTATAATGTTCAAACGTCACACATATATTTTACAGTAATATATAATGCTAGATAAAATGAGAATTATATTTATGATGTTTTTCAGATATTAGTATCTTTGAACCTTCTAGATCAGTTTGTATTTGTATCTGAAAAGACGAAAATGTGTTTTATAACAAGTGTTTAAACTCCCCTAGATTTGAATTTGCATGCTTTCCTTTTGTGTCGTGTTCTTGCTATACAGACATGGTTTGGTGTTAGATTATTGTAAGATTTATAACAAGTATAGGATATTTTAGACAGGTTATGTATTATGTACATTATATATATTTATATTATAGAAAGTTTGTGTTGTCTTTTCAGAAAGTTTAGAATATTGCCCTAACTATGGTTGCAGCTTCCACTGCCACAGGCTAAAGGCTTGTCTCCTATTCAAAATAGTGATAATGTAGAGGTCTAGTAGCAGGTTGGACCGTATGGAAATAATGTGAGAATTTAAAGAGAAACTTTAGTGATACAGGGAGAGAAAAGTACAGCTGATAGTTTCCTGCTAGATCTTGAAGCTTTACAATGTATTGTTTTTTTCTTAAGGCAATATAGTACAATCTTCTTTGAGGTAGGTTTTTCTTTTAAGTAACACTACCAACAAATTGAGCATTGCTATTGATTTTAATCCGATTTCTTCAGGCAGTTGGTAACTTGAATGCCAACATTTTAAGTAATAACTATGTCATTTGGCTGCTAAATTCTGTCGTGTTATTTTTTAAAATGAAGGTGAATTTATGTTACACATCAAAATTTGTACATTTAAGTTATGTTGTTTTTGTGCTTTTGCAAAAAAAAAAGTTTATTTTTATAATATCTGATTCCCATGTAGATGATTGAAGCAGATTTCTTTGTGGTTAACAGTGCTATTGAGTGGTATGGAACAGTGTTACTTGGCATTTTGAGCCTTCTCAGGTTTATCTCATCAGTGGTAGCTTATCAAACTAGATTGATTGTGTATAATTGTCTTTTTATTAAAAAAGGTTAATGCCTCTTAAAAGCACAGTATTGTTTGACTGTAGGGAGCTGCAGAATTGCCCATGTTTCTGTGACTTTGCTCGTGTGTGTGTGTGTGTGTGTGTGTGTATGTGTGTGTCCCAGGCATGGCAGTCAACCTTGTATCTGCTATTTATAATAACAGCAGAGCTTCATAATTGTGGTCATTAGAATTGTGCTTATCATAGAAAATTAAAACTGAGAAAGACTCAATAAAACTATGAAACATGGTGATGGTGTCTGTATTATTAGACTGTTCTTGCTCAAACGTTTCCTCACATTTTATCATACGCTGCAAGACACTTTGTTTTAATTTGAGTAATTTCTTAAAATGACAATTGGGATATAGCATTTTATGAGAAAGGGAGAATCCTGACGTAAGATAATCTCTAACACTGTTCTTATTTGATGGTTAGTCACAAATGAGGACATATGCTCTTCTCTCTTTTGTTTTGTTCTTGTTTTGAAACAGGGTTTCTCTGTGTAACAGCCTTGGTGGTCTTAGAACTCACTTTATAGACCAGGCTGGGTTTGAACTTACAGAGCTTTGTGTGCCCCTACCTTTCTATGGAAGTAATTATGCTAACAATCTTTTGTAGTTTCTGATTTTTAGTTTATATTGCCTTTGATTCCGAAGCGTGAGATATTCTCCTTCCCCTTCCCTCTCTCTCTCTCTTTCTCTTTCGTAGAATAAAATTTGTTTAAAGGATCACTTGTAATAAAGGTTATCTTAAAAAAGAAGGCAAACCTGCAATGTTCCTGTACTGGGATTTCTGGCATTGACAGAAGTGCCTTGTAACAAATTCTTGTGGAGAGCATATCAGGATCTCTGCTGGCCCTTAAGATACCAGTAAGTCCTTAGGAACACCTCCAGTAGACACACTAATCAAACTGCACTGTTTCTGATATCAACTTTGGTAAAGCGGTGTGTGTGTGTGTGTGTGTGTGTGTGTGTGTGTGCATTAGAATATATTGGAAAGTATGTTTTCTAGAGTGTGTGCTAGATTTTAGGTTGGAATGTATGTTAGTGTGTGTGTATGTGTGCTAGAATGTATTTCAGAGTGTGTGTGGTGTATTAGAGTATGTGTGTTGGAGTGTGTGTACTTCATACTTGGGAATAATACATATAACTATCTTGATATTTTAAGATTTTCTCCTAAAGTTTTAACAACCTTGACTTTGTAATTCACCTTAAGTTTAGAGTTACAGGACATTTTTTTCTGGAAGTAAAAGTGAATTTTATTTCTCTTCCATTTGTTAATGGATTAGCAATTTAAAAGCTCTTTGAGGGAATCATAGAATTCCGACCCCAAATATGATCAGAGCTTCCATTTCCAACTGTAAAAACTGTCCATATATACAGAGTCCATCTGTTACAGTCTGAGAGCTGACAGTACAAGCATCGTAGGCACAGCAGATGTCACTTGAAATCTATGTTAATGTTTTTCCTGTGCTTGCTTGTTAACCCCACAGAGTTGCAGCACTCTGGGCTGGTCCTAGGGTCTGCCCTGAGCAGTCAGTATGGCTGCTGGGATTGATAGACAGTGGTTGTGTCTGGCCCCTGAGGCGAGCAACTGATTGTACCACTGTAACCCAACAATAGAGCGGGGAACAGGGCAGGGGTATGGAGGTAAGTGGGCTGCTTTTCATACAGAATTAGAAAAAAAAATCCTCACTACTTTTTTTTTTTGATTGCTTGTTAGATAGAAATCACCAGTGTGAAGATGGCAAATCCCCCGTGAAGTCTTGGAGATGATCCAGTAAATTTTGTCAGGTGATACTAAAACTTCCATTCAAAACCCGAGAGAAGAAGGAACACACATTAGTATAATGGCTTATGAGAGAAGACTTCAACAAAGAAAATAGAATAGGGTTGATCAGTATCAATAAATGATGTGTGTGTGTGTGTGTGTGTGTGTATGTGTGTGTGTTTACATTTACTTGTGTTATAGGTTGTGTTAGAGATTTTACTTTTTTGATAGACATGTTCAAAAATTGTAAATTGTTCATTGCTTCATTTAGTAAAAGATGACATGAATCTAAAGAAACAGGATAAGACGTGGTTTCTCAAAACTTTTTAGGTAAATGCAAATGCATTTACTTAGTAATAAATAACAAATGCAAAACAAAAAATAAATTCATTTAACTTTGTTACATGCAATTTGTTTTTTAAAAACTGTTTTTATTTTCTTCCATTCCAAAAATGTGTAAAGTCATTTCTCTCGATTTGAACAAACGTTGACAACATAACTTCATCATTTCTTTAGGTTTGGACAGTGACCTTCCACTTCAGTATAAGAGGAGGAGTTTGCTATCAAAAAAACCTCAGTTCTGAACTCAAGGCTGCTACTTACAATTTGTGTTCCCTGGTCAGGATATTTAAACCTTTCAGCTGTATATTCCATAACTACAAGAAGGGCATCATAATAAATGTAAATAATGCCAGAGGAATAATACAAAATGTATACAGTATTCACCATAGTGCACACCTGAACAGCAGGGAAACATTCTAGGGTCGGTTTCTGCTCTTTCGTTTAGAATCAGTGAAATCACTGGTGCTCTTCCTTGGCAATCTGCAAGCAAGTGCTGCTTTTTCTGCCTTTGTTTCAGATTTCTGATGCCTCTGATCATACTTGGAGGCTTTGTGGGTCTCTCCTTGTGAGACCTTGTGAACACATAATACTGTTCTTTTACTCAGTTCATTAACGTTCAAATTCATAGTCAGAAAGAGGCTAACATATTTATGCTTTGTACTGGGTTCAGTATTTACTCTGTGAGACAAAGATACAGAAGACAAAGAATACCCAGCTAAAAAGCATATCAATAGAAAGTGCCTACTGGCCTCCCTCACCAGGCCTTACCTCTTAAGTTCATGGTTTATTTTCAATCACCACAGTCCAGAGTCTGGTCTTTATTTGTGCAGATACAGAAACTTGATCTCAACAGTTCATCTAGAGTTCACCAACACTGAGGGACTGACTCACACCGAGCAAACTGACAAGAGAATCATTTACCAGCTAGATTGCTGATTCTTACGTACAATGGTCATATCCCAGTCACAATAACAGGCATCTGCCTTTTTGTTCTGGGGGATCTAATTATATATCAGAAAGATGCCTGCAGAGCTTGAAATAGGAACAAAGATTGAGACATTCTTGAAAAGCCCGTCTAAAAAGGAAAGGCCAGCTGAAAGAATGACATGTCCCCAGAGATACTGGCCTTGCTAAGCAGTATCTATCTTTTACTTGAGAATCTTGAGCTGCTTTGCTGTCTTTCTGGAACAACTTAACAGTGTGTGGAATGAAACAATCACATTCATTTATTTATTTTAAAATTAGTCATCACCATCATTATTCTTTGAATGCAAAAAAAAAA